GGAATGCCGGAACCCGACCTCTGCCGTCAGGACACCCACCCCAAGGGAGTAGGGACAAGGTTCTGTTCCCCACCACACACTCAGTCATTCACACAAAACGGGGCTCAATCAGTATTTGCTGAATGGATGAAAATACACGTCTTGTCTGGACATCTTGAAAACAGAATGCCGACAGTGTTAACAGTCAAAAGGCATCTTCAGCATATTACAGAAATTTAATAAACAATCAAACTAAATTACTAGACGCAAACGCTGCCTTACAAACTCAGAATTCTTTTCCTTGCTATTGTGTTTAGCCATAAACACGCCTTATTATTATGATCTCTGAGGTAGGGCAGAGTTGTTGCCCAGAGGTGGTCACAATACGATACCGGTGAGAGCTTAAGGACAAGATCAAGAATTCATCATTTAAGATCAACTAGGATTGCAGGCTCCTAACGAACTAACCCTGGCTTTAAAGATCAAAGGTACAAGCTATACAATGATAATGAAAATGTGCACTTTTCATCATTCAGTCAACATAAAACATGGCAACACCCTCACACCACACACAAAAATAAACAATAAACAAGTGGGACCTAATGAAACTTACAAACTTTTTGTACAGCAAAGGAAACCATAAACAAAACGAAAAGACAACCTATGAACTGGGAGAAAATATTTGCAAATTATGCGACCAACAAGGGCTCAATTTCCAAATATACCAACAGCTCATACAACTCAACATAAAAACAAACCAATCAAAAAATGGGTACAAGACACAAATAGACATTTCTCCAAAGAAGACATACAGATGGTCAACAGGCACATGAAAAGATGCTCAACAGCACTAATTATTAGAGAAATGCATATCCACACTACAATGAGGTATCACCTCACACTGGTCCGAATGGCCATCTTTAAAGAGGTCTACCAAAAATAAATGTTGGACAGGATGTGGGGAAAAGAGAACCCTCCTACACTGCTGGTGGGAATGTAAACCACTGCAGCCACTATGGAGAACGATATGAAGGTGCCTTAAAAAACTAAAAATAAAGTTAACGTATGATCCTGCAATCCCACTCCTGGGCATATATCTGCAGACAACCATAATTCAAAAAGACACACGCACCCCAATGTTCGCTGCAGCACTATTTACAATAGCCAAGACACAGAAGCAACCTAAATGTCCATCGACAGATGAATGACTAAAGAGGATGTGGTACATATACACAATGGAATACTACTCAGCCATAAAAAAAGAATTAAATAATGCCATTTGCAGCAACATGGATGGACCTAGAGATTGTCACACTAAGTGAAGTCAGAGAAAGACAAATACCATATGATATCACTTATATGTGGAACCTAAAATATGACACAAATAACCTTATCTGTGAAACAGAGTCACAGACATACAGAACAGATGTGGCTGCCAAGCACGAGGGGAAGTGGGGGATAGATGGATTGGGAGTTTGGGATTAGCAGATGCAAATTATTACAGAGAGGACGGATGAACAACAAGGTCCTACTGTATAGCACAGAGAACTGTATTCTATATCCTGTGATAAACCATCATGGGAAAGAATGTATTTATATGTGTAACTGAATCACTGCTGTATAGCAGAAATTAATACATTGTAAATCAACTACACTTCATTAAGGTAATAAAATGCAAACAAAACAAACAAAAATCCACGGCAACTAACAGACAGACTGCTCCAAGGTTTAGTCCTGGGACTTTTCCTCCAAAGCTGTGAATTCCAGACACATCTGAAATCATTACTGTAAAATTCTGCTAAAGCTGGTATTCACGGAACAGGGCTTTCCTCCAAAGAAACACTAAATGGAGGTTTGAGTTCTAGGTCCACCCCCAACTTTACATGGAATCGTCATCATATTTTGCAGAAGTCCAGGTGTCCCCCACTCTCTCACATGCAACACAGGCTAGATGTCTATCCCGGAAAAAAGCATTAATCACACAAAGCAGTCCTGTCACCTTTCTCCTGCAGTTTTACGTTTACTCGCTTAAATGGCATTTCTGAGAAACCCCTTCAAGACTGGCTGCTCTCACTAACTACTCTTCATTCCCAGCAGCACAGATACACACCAGAGGAGAGCAGAACGGAGAGGACTGGACCTGAAGTAAAACACTGGAGATGGATTTCCCATGGGTAACTTTCAGGACAGCAATTTTTAAGTGGGGCTGGATAATGCAGGGGTTGAGGACACGAACGCTGGACCCGGTGCGTCTGGTTCAAACCCCAGGACCCACCCAACCACCCCTGTCCCCAGAACTAGATGAAGGCAAATAACCATTTCTGTGCCTTGGAATTTCTATCTATAAAAATGAGGATGATAATAAAAGCTCCCTCAAAGACTTGCTCTGAGAATTCAGAGGGTCAGTATGGGTAGAAGTCTCAAAAAGAGTGCCTGGTACAGTAAGCACTGCCCTTGTGCAGTGATGGTCATCACAGAAATCCTTCTGACCAGGACTGGCTCAACCCAGCGTAATTTAAGAAAAAGAGGCTGGAGGCCAGTCTACATTTTGTACAACAGTCTGTGTTAAAAGGTGAGTCATCTTGAGTTGAGTGTCCTGTGCGGAGCTTCAGCGCACGTCCTGAGCTGAAGTGTCGGCTCAGCCATTTCATGAGGAACTCTGGTCTGAAGGGCCAGTGGCAAGCCCTCTGCATGGGGCCCACTACGAGCAAGTGAATCAGACTAATAAGCACAAAGGGAAGAAAGGTGGATGGGCTAGGCGGGAAGTGAGATTGCCAGATTTATGTCCTTTCCAGATGAAATGTGGATCCTCTCTAGCAACAGGAGGTGCAGAGAGAGGACCTTCAAGATGGCAGAGGAGTAAGACATGGAGCTCACCTTCCTCTCCACAAACATGTCAAAAAATACATCTACATGTGGAACAACTTGGGCAGAATAACTACTGAATGCTGGCAGAAGACGTCAGACTTCCCAAAAGCCGCGTGGCCAACAGGGTCTTCGCGCTCTGGCCAGCTGTCAGGCCTGAGCCTCTGAGGTGGGAGAGCCAGGTTCCGGACACTGGACCACCAGACCTCCAGGCCCCAAGTAGTATCCACAGGCGAGAGCTCTCCCAGAGATCTCCATCTCAACACTAAGAACCAGCTCCACTCAACGAACAGATAGCTCCAGTGCTGGACACACTATGCCAAACAACTAGCAAGACAGGAACACAACTCCACCCATTAGCAGAGAGGTTGCCTAAAATCATAATAAGGTCACAGACATCCCAAAACACACCAGTGGACGCAGTCCTGCCCACCAGAAAACAAGATCCACCCTCAAACACCAGAACACAGGCACCAGTCCCCTCCACGAGGAAGCCTACACAACCCACAGAACCAACCTTACCCACTGAGAGCAGACACCAAAAACAAAGGAAACTACGAACCTTCAGCCTGTGAAAAGGAGACCCCAAACACAGTAAGTTAAACAGAATGAGAAGACAGAAAAACACACAGCAGATGAAGGAGCAAGGTAAAAACCCACCAGACCAAACAAATGAAGAGGAAATAGGCAGTCTACCTGAAAAAGAATTCAGAGTAATGACAGTAAAGATGATCCCAAATCTTGGAAGTAGAATGGAGAAAATACAAGAAACGTTTAACAAGGACCTAGAAGAACTAAAGAGCAAACAAACAATGATGAACAACACAATAAATGAAACAAAAAATTCTCTAGAAGGAATCAATAGCAGAATAACTGAGGCAGAAGAACGGATAAGTGACCTGGAAGATAAAATAGTGGAAATAACTACCAAAGAGCAGAATAAAGAAAAAAGAATGAAAAGAATTGAGGACAGTTTAGGAGACCTTTGGGACAACATTAAACGCAAAACCTCCCTAACATGGGAAAGGAAATATTCAATCAAGTCCAGGAAGCGCAGAGAGTCCCATACAGGATAAATCCATGGAAAACACACCGAGACACATATTAATCAAACTATCAAAAATTAAATACAAAGAAAAAACACTGAAAGCAGTAAGGGAAAAGCAACAAATAACATACAAGGGAGTCCTCATAAGGTTAACAGCTGATCTTTCAGCAGAAAGTCTGCAAGCCAGAAGGGAGTGGAAGGGCACATTTAAAGGGATGAAAGGGAAAAACCTACAACCAAGATTACTATACCCAGCAAGGATCTCATTCGGATTTGACGGAGAAATTAAAACCTTTGCAGACAAGTAAAAGCTAAGAGAATTCAGCACCACCAAACCAGCTTTACAACAAATGCTAAAGGAACTTCTCTAGGCAAGAAACACAAGAGAAGGAAAAGACCTACAATAACAAACCCAAAACCATTTTTAAAAATGGTAATAGGAACATACATATTAATAATTACCTTAAATGTAAATGGATTAAATGCTCCAACCAAAAGACACAGACTGGCTGAATGGATACAAAAACAAGACCCGTGTATAAGCCGTCCACAAGAGACCCACTTCAGACCTAGAGACACATACAGACTGAAAGTGAGGGGATGAAAAAACATATTCCATGCAGATGGAAATCAAAAGAAAGCTGGAGTAGCAATTCTCATATCAGACAAAATACACTTTAAAATAAAGACTATTAGAAGAGACAAAGAAGGACACTACATAATGATCCAGGGATCAATCCAAGAAGAAGATATAACAATTGTAAATTTTATGCACCCAACATAGGAGCACCTCAATACATAAGGCAAATGCTAACAGCCATAAAATGGGAAACTGACAGTAACACAATCATACTTTAACACCCCACTATCACCAAATAAGGAAACACAAGTTTAAACGACACATTAAACAAGATGGACTTAATTGCTATTTAAAGGACACTCCATCCAAAAACAACAACAAAAACAACAGAATACAGTTTCTTCTCAAGTGCTCATGGAACATTCTCCAGGATAGATCATATCTTGGGACACAAATCAAGCCTCAGTAAGTTTAAGAGAACTGAAATCGTATCAAGCATCTTTTCCAACCACAGCGCTATGAGACTAGATATCAATTACAGGAAAAAGCCTGTAAAATATACAAACACAAACACACGGAGGCTAAACAATATGCTACTAAATAACCAAGAGATCAATGAAGAAATCAAAGAGAAAATCAAAAAATACCCAGAAACAGGGCTTCCCTGGTGGCACAGTGGTCGAGAGTCTGCCTGCCGATGCAGGGGACGCGGGTTCGTGCCCCGGTCCGGGAGGATCCCGCATGCCGTGGAGCGGCTGGGCCTGTGAGCCATGGCCACTGAGCCTGCGCGTCTGGAGCCTGTGCTCCGCGACGGGAGAGGCCATAACAGTGAGAGGCCCGCGGACCGCAAAAAGAAAAAAAAAAAAAAAAAAAAACAAAAACAAATGACAATGAAAACACGACGACCCAAAACCTATGGGATGCAGCAAAAGCAGTTGTAAGAGGGAAGTTTATACCAATACAATCCTACCTCAAGAAACAAGAAAAATCTCAAATAAACAACCTAGCCTTACACCGAAAGCAATTAGAGAAAAAAGAACAAAAAAAATCCCCAAAGTTAGCAGAAGGAAAGAAATCATAAAGATCAGATCAGAAATAAATGAAAAAGAAATGAAGGAAACAACAGCAAAGATCAATAAAACTAAAAGCTGGTTCTTTGAGAAGATAAACAAAATTGATAAACCATTAGCCAGACTCATCAGGAAAATAAGGGAGAGGACTCAGATCAATAGAATCAGAAACGAAAAAAGGAGAAGCAACAACCGACACTGCAGAGATACAAAGGATCAGGAGACATTACTGCAAGTAACTCTATGCCAATAAATTGGACAACCTGGAAGAATGGACAAATTCTTAGAAAAGCACAACCTTCCGAGACTGAACCAGGAAGAAACAGAAAATATAAACAGACCAATCACAAGCACTGAAATGGAAACTGTGATTAAAAATCTTCCATCAGGGCTTCCCTGGTGGCGCAGTGGTTGAGAGTCCGCCTGCCGATGCAGGGGACGCGGGTTCGTGCCCCGGTCCGGGAAGATCCCACATGCCGCCGAGCGGCTGGGCCCGTGAGCCATGGCCGCTGAGCCTGCGCGTCCGGAGCCTGTGCTCCGCAACGGGAGAGGCCACCACAGTGAGAGGCCTGCGTACCGCAAAAAAAAAAAAAAAAAAAAAAAAAAATCTTCCATCAAAGAAAAGCCCAGGACCAGATGGCTTCACAGGTGAATTCTATCAAACATTCAGAGAAGAGCTAACACCTATCCTTATCAAACTCTTCCTAAATATAGCAGACGGAGGAACACTCCCAAACTCATTTTACAAGGCCACCATCACCCTGATACCAAAACCAGACACAGATGTCACAAAAAAAGAAAACTACAGGCCAGAATCTCTGATGAACTCAGATGCAAAAGTCCTCAACAAAATACTAGCAAACAGAATCCAACAGCACATTAAAAGGATCATACACCATGATCAAGTGGGGTTTATCCCAGGAATGCAAGGATTCTTCAGTATATGCAAATCAATCAGTGGGATACACCATATTAACAAATTGAAGGATAAAAACCATATGATCAGAAAAATATGCAGAAAAAGCTTTTGACAAAATCCAACACCCATTTATGATAAAAACTCTCCAGAAAGTAGGCATAGAGGGAACTTACCTCAACATAATAAAGGCCATATATGACACACTCACAGCCAACATCGTTCTCAATGGTGAAAAACTGAAACCATTTCCTCTAAGATCAGGAACAAGACAAGGTTGTCCACTCTCACCATTACTGAATATAGTTTTGGAAGTTTTAGCCACAACAATCAGAGAAGAAAAAGAAATAAAGGGAACCCAAATCGGAAAAGAAGTAAAACTGTCACTGTCTGCAGATGACATGATACTATAGATAGAGACCCTACAGATGCTACCAGAAAACCTATACTAGAGCTAATCAATGAATTTGGTAAAGGAGCAGGATACAAAATTAATGCACAGAAATCTCTCGCATCCCTATACACTAATGATGAAAAATCTGACAGAGCAATTAAGGAAAACACTTTCATTTCTCACTGCAACAAAAAGAATAAAATACCTAGGAATAAACTTATGTAAGGAGACAAAAGACCTTATGAAAAAAAATTACAGATGACACAAACAGATGGAGAGATATACCATGTTCTTGGATTGGAAGAATCAACATTGTGAAAATGACTCTACTACCCAAAGCAGTCTACAGATTCAATGCAATCCCTAGCAAACTACCACTGGCATTATTCACACAACTAGAACAAAAAATTTCACAATTTGTATGGAAGCACAAAAGAGCCCGAACAGACAAAGCAATCCGGAGAAAGAAGAACGGAGCTGGAGGAATCAGGCTCCTGGACTTCAGACTATACTGAAGCTACCGTAATCAAGATAGTATGGTACTGGCACAAAAACAGAAATATAGGTCAATGGAAAAGGACAGAAAGCCCAGAGATAAACCCACGCACATTTGGTCACCTTATATTTGATAAAGGAGGCAAGAATATACAATGCAGAAAAGACAGCCTCTTCAATAAGTGGTGCTGGGAAAACTGGACAGCTACATGTGAAAGAATGAAATTAGAACACTCCCTAACACGGTACACACAAATAAACTCAAAATGGATTAAAGTCATAAATGTAAGGCCAAACACTATAAAACTCTTAGAAGAAAACATAGGCAGAACACTCTATGACTCAGGGCAAGATCTCAGGGCCAACGGGAGAGGCCACCGCTCTCCCGTTGACTCAGGGCAAGATCCTTTTTGACCTCCTAGAGAAACGGAAATAAAAACAAAAATATACAAATGGGACCTAATAAAACTTAAAAGCTTTTGCACAGCAAAGGAAACCATAAACAAGACGAAAAGACAACCCTCAGAACAGGAGGAACTATTTACAAATGAAGCAACGGACAAAGGATTAATCTCCAAAATGTAGAAGCGGCTCATGCAGCTCAGCATCAAAAAAACAAACTCAACCCAAAAATGGACAGAAGACCTAAATAGACATTTCTCCAAAGAAGATATACAGACTGCTAACAAACACATGAAAGGATGCTCAACAACACTAATCATTAGAGAAATGCAAATCAAAACTACAATGAGGTATCACCTCACACCGGTCAGAATGGCCATCATCAAAAAATCTACAAACAATAAATGTTGCACTGTTGGTGGGAATGTAAAGTGATACAGCCACTAGGGAGAACAGTATGGAGGTTCCTTAAAAAACTAAAAACAGAACTACCATATGACCCAGCAATCCCACTACTGGGCATATACCCAGAGAAAACCATAATTCAAAAAGAGTCATGTACCACAATGTTCACTGCAGCTCTATTTACAATAGCCAGGACATGGAAGCAACCTAAGTGTCCATCGACAGTTGAATGGGTAAAGAAGAATGTGGCACATATATACAGTGGAATGTTACTCAGCCATAAAAAGAAACGAAATTGAGTTATTTGTAGTAAAGTGGATGGACCTAGAGTCTGTCATACAGAGTGAAGTCAGTCAGAAAGAGAAAAACAAATACTGTGTGCTAACACATATATATGGAATCTTCAAAAAGAAAAAAAAAAAAAGGTTCTGAAGAACCTAGGGGCAGGACAGGAACAAAGACGCAGACGTAGAGAATGGACTTGAGGACACGGGGAGGGGGATGGGGAAGCTGGGTCGGAGTGAGAGAGTGGCATGGACATATACACACTACCAAATGTAAAATAGCCAGCTAGTGGGAAGCAGCCGCATAGCACAGGGAGATCAGCTCGGTGCTTTGTGTCCACCTAGAGGGGTGGGATAGGGAGGGTGGGAGGGAGATGCAAGAGGGAGGGGATATGGGGACATATGTATATGTATAGCTGATTCACTTTGTTATACAGCAGAAACTAACACACGATTGTAAAGCAATTATACTCCAATAAAGATGTTAAAAAAAAAAAAAAAGGTGAGTCCTTAATTAACAGCTTAGAGAGCCAAAGGGCAGATGAAGGTGAGCCTGGGAATTACCTCGGCCGTTCTCAGGCTCCAGTGTTTCCCTGCTGTCCTGTGTCCGCCCAGGTTCCCCCGAGGCAGGCTTGGGGGCCGCCACGCCCACTGGGGGGAAAGGGCCAGGCGCAGGGGGCGGCACGGGCTGGCGGGGGCGGTAAGGCATGCCTGCCGGGCACCCCCGCGAGGAGAGCTGCTGCATGGCAAGCATCTCTGGGCTGTCCAGCATGGAGTCCCCGCCCTGCATTCCCCGCAGGGCCTGGGCCGGTGCTCCAAAGAGAGAACCTTGCGTTGGTGCTGGAGAGGGCTGGAACCGGTGTCCACCAGGTTTACAGGGTGGTCGCATGTACCCCGAAGAAGGAACTCCGTGAGGTAGGAAGCCTGATTGTTCTGGCCACTGGTTTGGGGGGAGGGGTGCTCTCATCACTCGGGAATCTATCATGTGACCCAGAGTGCGAGGCTGGTGAGAGGGTCCTGGCCCCATGGGGGGCTTCTCATCTGGCCCCAAGGGTCCTGGATTTGTAGCACCGTGATTCCCATTCCAGACTGCAGAGTGTACTCGACTCAGGTACTTGTAGGATCGGTACATGTGGCTGGGAGGGATTTCTGAACTCTCGGGAAAGGCTGGGGGTCGGGCCGGAGCCCCACCGTGCCTGGGAGGGATAAAGCCTGGCTGGAAATGAGCTGGAGGATACATAGTCCCCTCCTGGCTGGGGCCGCTCATCTGCCCAAGCAGCGAGGGTCCAGGACGCGATCCCATGTCAGCAAGGGGCGCTAGGCCCCCACACACCGGCTTCTCGTCGGGGGGGCCTCGGTGATGGTTAATTCCAGCTGGAGGCTGGCAACAAGAAAAGAGATGTGCTTACCACAAGGAAATGGGAAATTACAAGTCCAATTTAACCTGGGGAGAGACTGTATTTCTGAAACGCACCTTTGCACCTGTGTATGCTAAGCCGGTTGCTTACCTGCACTGCTAAAGGCTGGGGATGCTGTCCAGGCCCGCCGGGGTGCGGCTCTGGGGCTCCAGAGGAGACACGGATGGTGGCAGGATCCGACCCTCGGAGAGGACAAAACGTTCCCTGTCCTGCTGGCCTCTGGAGGGCACGGAGCAAAGGCAAGAAGAAGAAAAGAGGCACACCCTTCGCATCCGGAAGACTAAATGTCCTGCTGCAGGACAAGGCCGCCACCTGCTCCGAGCGTACACTCACCACAGGAGGGCCCAGAGCAGGGGCTTCCCGTCCTTGTCTCTCCCCAGAGCCGCCTCGGCCAGTGTTCTGCCCAACTGTTCCCCTCGTGAAGGGTTCACTTACATACTGTATGTACCTCTGTGCCTTTGACTTAAAAGGGGTTAATAATGCCCGTGTTGAGAATGTGTGGTTCAAATGATTTCGAAAAAGAAGGATTTAAAATAAAGGAAGGATAGGGCCTCCCTGGTGGCGCAGTGGTTGAGAGTCCGCCTGCCGATGCAGGGGATACAGGTTCGTGCCCCGGTCCGGGAGGATCCCACATGCCGCGTAGCGGCTGGGCCCGTGAGCCGTGGCCGCTGAGCTTGCGCGTCCGGCAACGGGGAAGGCCACGACAGTGAGAGGCACACATATCGCAAAAAAAAAAAATAAAATAAAATAAAATAAAATAAAGGAAGGCTAGAGGAAGGGCAGATGGGGAGAAGAGAGCATCCATAAGCAGGCACGCCATGTTGGCAGAGGCTCTGACCGAGAGGCTTCACGCCCCGCCCCAGCCCCCAGCCAGGGGAAACCGCAATGGGACAAAGCTGCTCCTCACCAGCTGGCCTGCGAGGGGTGCCTGGCTGGGTCCACCGTAATGCAGGGGTCCAGGGAGGCTGCGGCCGTTCGGGGGGCCCACGTCGCCAGGGGGCTGCGCGCAGCTGCTGCTCTCGCCGGCCCCGGAGGGCGCGGCGCGGCGCCCAGGGGGCAGCGATTTGCCCCCGGCCTCCGCGGGCTGCTGCTTCCGGCCGGGCGCCTCCGCGTCCCGGGGGCGGGTGCACGCGTGGCTGCGGGCGGCCCGCCCACGCCTCTTCTCCCGCTTCTCCTCCTCTCGGACCCAGAATTCCTCGTCCGTGTCCCCGTCCTCACCAGGAAAGTGCTTCAGCATCGCGCGGTGGAAGCACCGCTCCAGGTTGTCCGACATCTTGGTGTACTCTGCGGGGGACCGAGGCCTGAGCGCCGCTGGGCAGGCCCCCAGACCTCCGCCCACAAACATGCAACGGGGCAGCCCCGGGCTCGACTGCGTGGCTGCCCGGGCTGCAGCGCTCCCCACGTTGTAGGGCTACGGACACGAGAGACCAGGACAAGAAACCAGGACACGGTTTTCTGGCCTCAAGCCTGTGTGGCTGGGACAGTGAGCCCAGTACCCCCAAACCGGTAAAAATTGAATTCTTTAATGCCAAACCGCAGAAACATTAAGTACAATCACTGAATCTGTCTAGTAAAAAAAAAAAAAAAAGGCATCGTGAGCTCCAGTTTCAGCACCTGGCGCAACACGGGCTGTGTCATCAGAGGTCTGCTGTGTGATGCAAAGGTGGCTGACGGTGGGGGCCGAGGACAAACAGACCCAGGCGGGCCTGGGGGAAGACAAGGACCTGGGCCGCCAGCCACCGCTGCCCCTCTGGCCGGGTGGGGCGGGACAGGGCCCGGCACGCCCATCCCACGGCGTTAACACACATTCTCCTTATGGTCCCCAAGGAAGGTCTGAATCTCTGGAGGGTGTGTTTCTAAAAGAGGGGGCGTGTTACCCTTGGTCCTACTGGTGTGCCAGGGTGAATCCATAGCCACCCCTCTTCACTTACCGCTACTTTCCCCGTTATATTTTCGACAGTTCCTGAACATAGTCTTCATGTCATTCACAAACTCCTCCTTCGAACAGTATAAACCTCCATTCAGTTTCTTCTCCATGCTTGAAATATCCATGGGGACCTACAACAGGACACGTTAATTAGCACAGGCTGGAGAACACAGCATCCTGCAGGTCCTGCGAGGCAAAGCACTCACAGCATTAGGAGCTGCTCAAAAGCCTGGGGTGCACCCAGCAACCCTGACCCTTGAGGGGTAGCAGATGAACTTACACACAACAACACAGATCACTAAAGATGCACACACCACAGTCGGGTACAGCTGACAAGGCCACCTCTACCTTAATAATCTGGTAATAGTTAGGGGCATACGATTCATCCACTGGTTCCAAAAAGGGCCAGGAATCCTTGTGAGCCTTCACCACGTCCAGAACTGAGGGCCAAAGAGGAGAGCTGGGTTAACACACCGACGTGGGAACACGCTTGGGCAGAACGCGGGAGCTGAGCGTGGGAACTGACCTTTGTACATGGCAGTGAAATCGTCGTCCAGCTCAAAGCTGTAAAGCAGAAAAGAAGGGATTAGCGGTAGCTGAGACCACCTTCTCTCCTCGGAGCTCTTGCTCCAACCTCACACACAGCTCACTTGCGCCCAGCTTTGGAATAGTCCCAGTACACCTTTGTTAAGGAAAGTCTGTAACACTGAGAACGCTCCTGAGAATGTGACGAGGATGAGGGCCAGCATACGTCAGCCGAACAGGACCACCACCTTTTCCATCTACAAAATGATGGTTTCGTGGAACTCATTCATGATTCCGTAACGTTCGTGATTTAACAGCACACTCCTTGCCAGGTTTTACTCTACTCTAGTAAGTACTTCTGTGATCTAAAGAATAATAACCCAGCAAGTCAGACAGCAGCGGAAGGAGCTCACGAGCACTGGCCACGACCCCCACAGAGGGCTGTTCTAAGGACACGACGAGGCAGGCTTGGGGCCACTCAACACTCACGGGTCTCTCGTCCTCTTCTCTTCCCGCGGCGGGGAGGGAGGGTCCAAGTGGGACAGCTCGGGCGGGAGCGCCTTGCCCTGCGCCAGCAGCCAGGCCCTCTCTTCCCTGAGCTTCCTTCTCTTGGCGCGATCTGCATGAACACAAAGCACAGGTGCGTCAGGGGCTCCAGAGGGGCAGACGTCTGTTCTGAGAGGAGGAAACAGATCACCAAACGTTGACTTCTGCTCCCTTTGAGTCCTCTCTTTGCTAATTCGGATGGTGCTAGAGATGCAATGCTTTGTGGACCCACTTCCTCTTAGCCCTACCAAGTTCAGGTCGCGGGCTGAGGGAGGAAGGCGGCCCCGGACGGGGACAGGGAAGACCAAGAGAGAAGGAAAGCAGAATTACAGGGACAGGGAAAAGCAGAGCACTGACTGAGGGTCACCCTCTCTGACAACCCCAAGGCCTTCCTAACTTTCCAGCAAGAAGACAACATCCCCCTTTTAGGACCAGACCTCAATCCAAACACACCCGGGACGGTACAAGCCCATCGCAGCTCTCGCACCAGCTGTCCTTGCTCGGCGGCCACCCCACCCACGGCAGCTGGTGCACCCTCACCAGTGCAGGAGGAGGGCTCCTGCGAGCGAGGAAGAAGCCAGCTGGACGGGCCAGGAGCTGGAAGAGGGAGGGCGTTTTCTGGCTCCCAGCTGCGGCCACAAGAAACATACTTGACACTGCACTGCTGGCCTGCCTGGCCCTTGTACCAGCAGGGCGGAAGAGAGGCAAGGAATGCAGAACACCATCAGAAGGCAAGACCCAACGACGGAGAGAGAGGCCCGGGAAGGTGCCCGGTGGGAGCACGACACAGCCCTAAACCTGCAGACAGCGAGCGTGCTCTCACCAAGCTCCCTCTGTTCCTACTTCATGCTCATTTATAAATAAACTTTTAAGTGTAAGAGAATCTGTATCTGCTTTAATTAATCAGAGGCACTTTGCTATAAACGACTTTCAAAACTGCTTTTTAACAAAGAGAATGATTTCAAGCTTAAAAAAAAGTATAACCAAATTAACGAATATCCACATACCAAACTGTCAAACTTTAACATTAGGACTCTGATTCTTTGCATCCTAAGAACCACCCTTTCGAGAGAGGCGCCTTCCCGAGCACGGGTGAGCCCTCCAGGGTCCACGGCAGCAGGGACCTGCCAGGTGCACTGTGGAGCCTTTAAAGGCTCACAGCTACTCCTTCACAAGTGATGTGAGAGAGATACCTCACTCTCACATCAAGGGGTAAATTTTTAGCACTTTTTCTAACCTGATACATATGACTTGGAATTCTGATGTTTCTGTTTGCCTTTTCCTGATTGGAATGACACAACGTATTTTCATGTTTATTATCCTCTTCTGTGAATACGCTGCTTATATACTTTGCCTTTTTTTCCCTGTGGGTTGTTGGATTTCTAAATGATTTGGAGAAGTGCTTTTAAATAATGTGGATAAGAAGTCTTTATTAAAACTATCTTCTTCTATACCTGATTTGTCTTTTCACTTTGTTTAAGGTGTTTTTAGTCATTTGTAAATTTTAAACAATTAATGTCATCAAATATATCAATCTCCTTCCCTTGTAGTTTGTGCTTTTGTTACTTAAATTCTTTCTGTCCCAGCATCTTAAAGACCCTCACCTATGTTTTCTTCAAAAAGCTTTGGGCCTTTAGTCCATCAGGCGGCAATGGTGCCGGCAGCGCCTGGTGAGGAACCAGGTCTGCTTCTGGCTGCTCACTGCCAGGTCTCACTACCCATCTCCAAGCCAGTAACACTCTCCCACATTCACGGCAGCTTTTATTCTGTTATCTGGTAGAATGAGTGTTCCGAAGATATCGATTTTTAAAATTATCTTGCCTATACTTGGCCCTCTGCTCTTCTGTACGAATTTCAGGAACATAAAATGATTTATTTAATATTAAATATCAAATACTAAAATATTATCAAATATTAAATATCAAATACTGAGTCAAGGTCAAACTTACCCACTTGTTCAATAATTTTAAGTTGGTTTGTTCAAATCAAATCCAAAAAGGTCCAGACAGTGCATTTGGTTGGTATGTTTCTTAAATTTAGTGGAATGTATAACAGTGTCCTCTCCAATTTATCTGGTGGAGAAATTGGGTCATTTTGTCTTGGTAGAATTTCCCACGTTCCGGATTTAGCAAGTGGCATTCTCATCACATTGTTAATGTGCCCTGTGGTAGCTCTACTGAGGGCCTCTGACCAGACAGACGGGCATGTTTCTTGGCAATGTTACCACATACAGTGATGCCTGTGCTTCCCTTTTCATCACCTCAGCAGACACCATATGTGGTTACCTTTTCTTCTGTGGTGTTAAATTCCATTAGCGATTACCTGATCCTTCCGTTATAAAGTTCCTATACCTAAAGATCAAACACAGTTCCAAGACAGAAGTAAACTGTAGAGAAAATTATTTGTGTGATTGTTTTCTCAATAATTCCAAGGTATATACCTAGTACTACGTGTAAATATATAAAAGGGACAGAAGTTAACTCAACACATGTAATTGGATGCTTTAGGGCCGAGCAAAAACTATAGCACACAGGGCAGGTAGCAAACTACTTTTGTTAAACACACACACACACACACACACACACACACACACACACACACACACACGAGTTTTATAGAAACACAGCCCTGCGTGGCCTCCAGGGCCCTTTACAGAAAGTTAGCTGACCCCAAATTCAAGGCATTAGGACTCAGAAGTCTCCTGGAAGCTTGGCTGAGGAAATCTTTGTCTAGAGCCACCGTTTCGTTGTTACTCTAATTCTAGTATTTCTGCTAAATTTATTGACCGAATTCTTCTTTTTCTCATCAATTATTTTCATATTCAAACTAAAACATAAAGAGGAAACAAAATGCTTCATCCTTCAATTTTTACCAGTTACTGTTTAAAACTTTTATTCCATTCATTTAAACTAAAGACAGACCAACATAACCCAGTTCTCTCACTTCCCCACCAACACTCTGCCTCCTGTGACCAACAATCTGTTCTATCTAATGAGCTTTTTTCTTTAGTGATTCCACATATAAAAGGGCTCATACTGTGCTTGTCTTTCTCTGACTTATTTCACTTAGCATAATGCCCTCTAGGCCCACTCATGTTGTGGCAGATGGCAGGATTTCATACTTTTTTTTTTAATGGCTAAACATTACTCCATCGTGTGTGTACCAACTCTTCTTTATCCATCTAGTGATGGGCACTAGGTGGCTTCCGTATCTTGACTATTATACATCTTGCTATGAACATGGGTGTACATGTATCTTTTATTATAATTAGTTTTGTTTTCTTCAGATAACTAAGAAACGGAATTCCTGGATCATATGGTAGTTCTATTTTTCGTTTTTTGAGAAATCTCCATAGTGGCTGCACCAACTTACATTCCCACCAACAGTGCACGAGGTTTTGCTCTAATCCACATCCTTGCCAACACTGGTTATCTCTTGTCTTTTTGATACTAGCCATTCTGACAGGTATGATGTGGTACCTCATTGTGGTTTTGATTTGACATTGAGCATCTTTTCTATGTCTTCTTGGGAAAAATGCCTATTCGGGTGTTCCTTTTTTTAAAAAAAAATATATTTATTTATTGGCTGCGTTGGGTCTTCATTGCTGCACACGGGCTTTCTCTAGTTGCGGTGAGCAGGGGCTACTCTTCGTTGCAGTGCGCAAGCTTCTCATTGCCATGGTTTCTCTTGTTGCAGAGCACGGGCTCTAGGCACACGGGCTTCAGTAGTTGTGGCACGTGGGCTCAGTAGTTGTGGCTCGTGGGCTCTAGAACACAGGCTCAATAGTTGTGGCACACGGGCTTACTTGCTCTGCAGCATGTGGGATCTTCCTGGACCAGGGATCAAACTCATATCCCCTGCATTGGCAGGTGGATTCGTAACTGCTGTGCCACAAGGGAAGTCCCAAGGTCCTCCATTTTTTAATTGGATTGTTTGGGGTTTGGTGGTTTTCTTTGTTTTGGGTTTTTTTTTTTTTTCTGCTATTGACTTGTATAAGTTCTTTACCTGTTTGGGGTATTAAGACTTTATTAGGTATATGATTTGCAAATATCTTCCCCCAATCAGTAGGTTGTCTTTTCATTTTGTGTATGGTTTCCTTTGCTGTGCAGAAGCTATTTCGTTTTCTGTAGGCCCACTTGTTTATTTCTGCTTTTGTGGCTTTTGCCTTTGTAGTAAGATCCAAAAAAACATCGCCAAGACAGATGTCAAGAAGCTTACTGCCTATGTTTCTTCCAGGAGTTTTATGGTTTCAGGTGTTACATTCAAGTCTGTATGTCATTTTGAGTTAATTTTTGTGTATGGGGTGAAGCAGTGGTCCAGTTGTTTTTTTGTTTTTTGTTTTGGCTGTACCAGGTCTTAGTTGAAGCCAGTGGGCTCCTTAGTTGTGGCATGTGAACTCTTAGTTGCAGCATGCATGTGGGATCTAGAGTTCCCTGACCAGGGATTGATCCTGTGTTCCCTGTGTTGGAAGGCAGATTCTTAACCACTGCACCACCAGGGAAGCCCCAGTGGTCCAGTTTTTCCAAAACCATTTATTGAAGAGACTGTCATTTCTGCATTGTATATTCCTGGACTGGTCCTAGACTTTTGTTTGTAGGAAGGTTTTCTTGATGACTAATTCCATCTCCTTACTAGTAATTAATCTGTTATGGTTTTCTATTTCATCATGATTCAGTCCTGGTAAGTTTCTAGGAATTTATCCATTTCTTCTAGGTTGTCCAGTTTGTTGGCAATGTTAACTGTTCTCAGTAGTGTCTTATGATCCTTTGTATCTCTCTGGCACCAGTTGTAATATCTAGTGTTCACTTCTGATTTTATTTATTGGAGTCCTCTTTTTTCTTGTGAGTCTAGCTAAAGGTCTGTCAGTTTTGTTCATCTTTTCAAAGAATCACCTCTTGGTTTCATCGATCTTTTCTAATTTTTTTTAGTTTCCGTTTCATTTATTTTTGCTACGATCTTTATCTCCTTCCTTCTAACTGTGGGCTTTTTATGTTCTTCTTTAACTGGCTCCTTGAGGTGTAAAGTTGGTTTGTGTATTTGAGACTTCACTTTTTTCTTGAGGTAGGCATTTTA